AAAACGAAACTGGAGACAGACATGCACACGGAGCGAACACCTTGGTGACATGAAGGCTGAGGTCAGGGAGCTGCTGCCACAAGCCAAGGGACGCCAGATACCGCCCCAAACCACCAGAAACCAAGAGAAAGGCTTGGAACACATCCTCCTGACAGCCCTCAGCACGAACCAACCCACTGAAAGCTGGATGTCAGACGTTGGCCTCCAGAACTGGGAAAGCAAATTTCTGTTTTTTTCTTAAGGCCCCCAGTGGAGTTTGATACTTGCAGTCCTAGCAGACCAGTATACTCACTTGGAGTGGAGGCCTCTCTCATGGGCGCACCGATGCCTTCCTAAAGTTCTCTCTCTAAGAACCTCATCCACTGCTTGGCCCTTTCTGCTGGATGGTGCCCACTCAGTTTCTCTGGGCTTTCCTTTCTCTCTAGGGGATGGCTCCTAACATCCTCCTCTCGTTGATGTACTGGCAGGTCCCTGAGGCACACTCTGGGGGAGAACAGAGGTGTGGCTGCCCGGCCTCTCACAGGCTTTCCAAACCTCTGCACGTCATCTCCTGTTCTGGGACCTGAACAGGTGACACGCGTGCAGACGCCCGGGACGACAGCTGGAGCGGGAACAGCCTGGGATGCCTCCCGCGGGGGACAGCATCATTATCACACCAAGGGCTGGCTGAGAGGGAGCAGACGGTGAGTCCTGAGGGGGTCCTAACCTGAAGTCGAGGCAAACTGGGAAACTCAATCGGCTGGAAGACATGTCCTACATGGAGCTGCCACAAGAGATGGGTCTCTAGGGGAGGGCTTGGTTGCCATGGAGATAGCTGGGTTAGGAGGGGTTAAGGAAGAACACAGCTGTTCATCCAACTAAGCTTCAGCTTACTCCTTTTCCTAAAGTAGAATTCCTCTGAGGTCAGCTCACTGATTGCCCTGCCCCTGCAGGCAAGACAGCCCCATTCCAGTCCCCACTGGTTTCCAGCAGTGGACATTCTGCTGCTCCCAGGAACCACCATGGGCTGTCAGAGAATCTTCTCTTCTCCCTCAGGAAGGATCTTTGTGGTCAGTGGCTCCTGTTTACACGTGGGCATGTCCCGAGGGGCTATACATTTTTGAAGATGAGGGAGGGTCAGAGACAAGAAGGAGTTATGTAGAAAAGGGCACAGAGCTCACAGAATACTGATTGTTTAAAAAAAACAAAGATCTATGCCAGCATCAAGGAATTAGCCAAGAAAGCCAGGTAAAGGAAATGAGTTGACTCTTCTAAAAAGTTACTTTTAACAAATCACACGTTCTTGGTTACAAATGCCACGGAAGCGAGGTGGTGGTCCTCTCAGCTCAGCCTACAGAGAGGCGCCCGAGGCTGATTTTTCCGATGACTGGTGATGCCAACTTCGACCACTTGGTTAAGGTACCTTGACCCCTTAACCACCGTCTACCTGGCTTCTTCACGTGTACGAAAGCACTCTGTACCATTTTTCTTGTTGTGATGAACACATGTCGTGTGGGGAGAGAGCTTGAGGCTCTGTCAGTATCCCATTGCTCATCCTTCTTCGCTAATTTTAGCCTTCATTGGACATTCCTGCCTGAAACAATGATTACTGTGAACTTTGCTAAGTGGTGATGTTTCTGTTTTCCTAAGTCCTTCTATTTTTAGGATTTGCAATTCTAGTATAAAGAGGAGCTTCCTCTCTCCTACATTGTTTATTTATATCAACAAGGACCACACATTCTTATATTATTTTCTTGCATCAAGTACATTAGGATGATTATTTGTTTTCTGGCTCACTCTGCCCCAGATTTGGCCACTGGGGCTAAATCAGGTAGGCTCCTGTGCTCTTTTGACCTGTATGCTACAGTTGTTTTAGTGTTCCTTGCTAAAATATATATGTCACTTGAATTTAATCATGAGAAAACATCAGACAAATCCCGATTGAAAGACATTCTATGAAATAATGGTCCTGAAAGACAAAGGTCATAAAAGACAAAGATTGAGGATTCGGGCACTGAGGCATCGTGATGATGAATGCCACACATGATCTGGATCAGAACCTGGACCAGAAAAAGGACATCAGTGGGATGACTGGGAAATGTGAAGAAGACCATGTATATTGGACGGCGTTTCTCCCTCACTATTAATTTCCTGATTCTGATCATTGTACTGTGGTTATATAAGATGCTAATTTTGGAGAATCTGGGTGAAGGGTATATGAAAGTTCTTTGTACTATTTTTGCACCTTTTTATCAGTCTGAAATTATCTCAACCATGCAAAGTTTAAAAAGTGAAAAATGGCTTTTGTAAGGAGAAGAGGCTTGGTTGGGGGCAGGAAGTGCAGGCTGAAAGCGGGTAGAACATTCCCGCTCCGGCTCCTCCCACCCACGTGTCCTGTCCGGAGTGCCTGCCGTCCCTGCAGTGGCTGGAGACACCGGGCAGGTTTGTCTCCCCCGATGCTCTTTCTTTGTCCACAGCCTCTACTTGAAAACCACCAACGGGAGAGACCCCACTGCTCGGGGCCTCCACCTCCTGCTGCTGCGTTCACTGGGAAAATCAATTACCGCCTAATCACCTCAGGGGGTTAATTAGCATCGTGTCGCCTGGGTGTCCTCGGGAACACAGCCGCCTGTCAGTCCCGGTCAGTGAGCAGGGGCGCGGGGGCAGAGGTTTCTCGGGAGAAGCCCGCCCTTGGGCGGGGCTGGGGCGGCAGTCAAGGTTGGCAAGGGTGAGAGGGGCTGATGGAAACGGCGCCCTCCTGCCTGATTCAAACGCCCCTGGACCGCAGGTGCAGAAGCAGAGAGACGAACCGCAGCCGCAGCAAGAATTACAGAACGGAGCAAGTTCTCAGGGCGGCCGCTGCGGGAAATCACTAGGATCGGGGAGCAGGCACGGAGCCCTGAGCAGTCCCGGCGAGCACTTCGCCGGTGAGATGAGGACAGGGGAGAGAGTCAGCAGGCACCGCCAGCAGGAGAAGAACGGAAGCCCGGTGTTTGAGGGGTGGTGTCCACGCCCTCATAGCACCCTCCCACAGGGCCGGTGAGAACCTGGGCAGAGGGACACGGGCTGCTCCAGCTCCTCACTGCCCCTGGGATCCACAGCCCCGTGGATGCACCGCACCTGGTCTGTCCCCCCCAGGAAGGCTGGATGTCAGGGATGGGGAAGCCCACTTCTTTTTTACTTTACCGTCATACAAAACAGGATTTTATTTTGGGAGATCGATTCCTAATTTACGGCAGGTTCTACTTCCAGAAATAAAACCCCCAAACAACACAATCTCATTCGATCTTAAAGGCTGGCGCGCTGAGCAAGGAGTGTTCTCCTCACTGTCAGGCACCAGGACTCCGCCTTTTGGTGTGCCTTCAGCCACCAGGGCGTCCACAGTAACATGTTCTAGTCTTTTTCCTTTAATTACCTCTAGTGCAAAAGCAGGAAGCAAATCCTGTCATTTAAAGTCATGACCTTCACAGTGGGCCTTCCGCTGGTCCTTCCGGCCTCATTCTGCTAACTGAGCTCTCAGCAACGCGGTGAGGTGCTCTCTTTCTCCAGGTTCCATCAGCGTGTGGTTAATCGATGCTTCCCACCTGCGTGCGCGTCTTTGCTCATCTTGCTAACCACACTCTTCGGCTGCCTGGACCTAGACCCTCAGTCGAAGCCCACTTCTTGTTTAATATCACTTGGGCAAATCATAGACACTTTAAAGCTGTTCTTACAATTAAACATATCTGAGCTGAAATATAAGCTCTGCCATTGTGAACTTGGACAATTCCATCACTCAGAGCCTCGTTTTCTTCCTCTGTAAAATGGAGGTGAGAATTTTGGTGTCTCATGGAGTTTTTGAGGGCTAAATAAGACAGTGCCAAGCACACCAAACAAATATTTGCTCCCTCTTTGAATACCTCATGGTAGGTTAACAACACTCATTTGATCTGAGGCTTCTTCTTTTTTCTTCTTCTTTTTTTTTAAAATGATCTGAAGTTGCAAAATGGTCACAGGGATGCTCCATTAGTTTCCCAACACTCTGACACAGGTGAGAGCCAGACTTGGCTTGCTTTGGTCAGCAGGGAAAATGAGGCAGGAAAAGGGACAAGGCAGCTGCTCCGGGGAGAGGCAGAAAGGAGCAGCCGCTCCTGCTTTCTGTTTTTTTTCTTTTTAAAAAATTTTTTGCCAAATTGCATGGCTTGTGCAACCTTAGTTCCCTGACCAGGGCTAGAACCCGGTCCATGGCAGCGAAAGCCGGAATGTAACCCACTGGACCAGCAGAGAAACCCTGCTCTCTTAGACTTGCAAATCACAGTGGTACCTGCCCTGGCCGATACTCCTCGTCATCATAAGGAATGTGTAATTAGTTTCAAAGTGCCACCAACAGTCGAAGTGGGAGCAGTAAAGAGTGATGAGCTCATAAGGCAACCAAAGTTAAATACAACTATTCCTCTCCCCGGCCATTCAAACCCCAAGCAGCTGTGTGTTCATTCACATCATCTATTCATCTTCCTTTGCAACTGACTATTCAGGAAACATCATTTTTTCCCCCCGCAGGATAATTAATTACCTATTTCCATTAAAATGCACAAACAAATTGGGACAGAAAGGAAACCCGGGGAAATGGCGCGGTGGCTAATGCAGTGCCTGCCTTTGCTTTCTCCTTCTGTTTTCAACTTTGCAACTCTGAGCTAATTGCAGCCCCTGACATCACAGTTCTGCTGAGAAAAGCTGAGCCTGTTTTTTCTGAAACGTTCACCCGCCATCCAGCCAATTTCTCGTCCCCCGCTGGCAAAGCTGGCCTGGCAGGGAGGCTGGGCTGGCTCTGCCTCCTTGGTGCACACGCACACTGAGGCACACGCATGGCTGTGCAGGTGCATGAGGACACACTTCCACACGCTTGTCGCTTATGCCCGGACACAGGCCATCGGGACACCCGTGAGAGGCGTTACCTGCCCTTGCATTAACATCAAGCATTCTTCCATAAAGGCTCAGTGCCCAGGGCCATCCGTCCCGCTCGGGGAACTTGGGGGGCTTACCTCGGTGATCTGGGGGTTGGAGCACTTGACGTTGTGGCTGGACCAGTCGAGCCAGGGGCTGGAGGAGCCGCTGCAGTGCTGCTGGAGGGTGCATCTGCGCTCGCCGCTGCACCAGCCGCACTCAAACTTCCGGTCGGCCTTGAGGCAGAGGCCGCAGCTCTCCCGCTGGGCTGCACACTTGTAGAGGTGGACTGCAGAGAGACGGACGGGGCGGTCACACGGTGAGCTGCAGGGGACTTCTCGCCGCTTACCCCGTTCTCGCGAGTGTGACAGAGACCGCCCCGTCCGTGGATATCACCAGTGATTGTCATTATCCTTGCAAAGAATAACTGATGGGGAATTAATAATAAATTGAGGCTCTTAGCAGTCATTTAAAGGCACGACAGAAAATATTGTTATTTAAGAATTCTGGCTCTAGATTAAATTGGATGAGGGCTTTCCTTGTGGCTTCAGCACTTTCTAGTGACATGACAAAGACTTTAACTTCTTTGGGCATTCAGTATCTAGTCTGTAACTCGGGGATCAGTCAATCAGTTCAGTTCAGTTGCTCAGTTATGTCTGACTGTTTGCGACCCCATGGATGGCAGCACGCCAGGCCTCCCTGTCTATCACCAACTCCTGGAGTTTACGCAGACTCATGTCTGTTAAGTCAGTGATGCCATCCAACCATCTCATCCTCTGTTGTCCCCTTCTCCTCCCGCCTTCAATCTTTCCCAGCATCAGGGTCTTTTCTAAGGAGTCAGTTTTTCGCATCAGGTAGCCAAAGTATTGGAGCTGCAGCTTCAGCATCAGTCCTTCCAATGAATATTCCAGGAGTGATTTCCTTTACGATGGACTAGTTGGATCTCCTTGCAGTCCAAGGGACTCTCAAGAGCCTTCTCCAACACTACAGTTCAAAAGCATCAATTCTTCAGCATTCAGCTTTCTTTATAGTCCAACTCTCACATCCATACATGACGACTGGAAAAACCATAGCCTTGACTACACAGACCTTTGTTGGCAAAGTAATGTCTCTGCTTTTTAATATGCTGTTTAGGTTGGTCATAACTTTTCTTCCAAGGAGCATGCATCTTTTAATTTCAAGGCTGCAGTCACCATCTGCAGTGATTTTGGAGCCCCCCAAAATAAAGTCTGTCACTGTTTCCACTGTTTCCCCATCTATTTGCCAAGAAGTGATGGGACCAGATGCCACAATCTTAGTTTTCTGAATGTTGAGTTTTAAGCCAACTTTTTCGCTCTCCTCTTTCATTTTCATCAAGAGGCTCTTTAGTTCTTCTTTGCTTTCTGCCATAAGTGTGGTGTCATCTGAATATCTGAAGTTATGGATATTTCTCCTGGGAATCTTGATTCCAGCTTGTGCTTCATCCAACCCAACATTTCTCATGATGTACTCTGCATATACGTTAAATAAGCAGGGTGACAATATACAGCCTCGTGAAAGAGGCGGAATTCGAACCCGAGTTTGTTGGATTATGGAACCCCAGTCCTTGAGCACCAGGACCTTCTCTGCCCAACACAGTGCATTAGCCTCCAGGGACTGCGAGGCTCTGGGTGGGAGGCGAGTGTGAAGCCACCATGGCCCCTGCATTCAAGGAGCTGCTTAAAAGTTGTTGGGTGCCACAAGGGAGGGTTCTGATGCAACAGCTTGGATGTGGCCATTTTTTTTCTCTAAAACTCCAGGTGCAAAGGCAACCTCTGGGAACTAAGCCCAGATTCTCAGCAGGCGAAATGTCTATCTCCTGGCACCGAGAAAACTGGGCCTGGGTATGAGGAGAAATAGAAGAAGAATCACCCAGCCTGAGCTCTGACTTTGATGGCAGCATCCAGCACAGGGACAGAAGCATCTGGAAGAGATGCTGAAGCACCTGCAGGTCCTCCCGGGGCCTTGGTCCCTCTCCGTGCCCCTGGGGTGACCTCAGCCTGAAGGACAGGCTTGTGAAAATCCTAGCTAATTGAAACGTGACATGGGGCTCATGGCTCAGGGTCAGGGGACAGGGTTCTGGGGGAGGAAATTTCACATCTCACAGTGGCCTGAGCCATAGGAGGAAGGACGTGAGCTCCAAAATGAGACTGTCTGGGTTCAAATCCTGACTCTTATTATTTGACTCCTGGTCCATTTCTTTTTTTCAACTTCATTGAGGTGTAACTGACAAAAAAAAATTGTACAATATTTAAAGTGATAATTTGATACACTACAGAGGGAAAAGATTCCTCCCATCTAGTTAATTAATAGATGTTAAGAACACACAAACATTAAGAACACTTAAGTTCTCCTCTCTCAGCAAACTTCAGTTCCATAACACAGTGATATCAACTGTAGTCACCATGCCATAATTAGATTCTTATTCATCTTAGGGCTGGATGTTTGTACCCTTTACCGACTTCTCCCTAGTTCTCCAACCGTCCAACCACTTTTCCACTCTGTTTCTGATGAGTTGGGGCATTCCACCCCCCCCACCCAGATTCCACATATAAGTTATCCTACACAGTCTTGGTCTTAAAAACATGGAGCACTTTATGAGCTTGCCCCATCTTTTGCAGGGGTCAGGCTAGTCTCTGCCTCTTCCAATTTTAGTGTCCGTGTTGCCAAAGCCAGCAGTCTTGGTCCCTCTCTTAGCTTCTTTGGGTCTTAGTTCCCTTATTTATCAAATGACGATAATGCTAGGGCATCCTTCTCAGCCCTGTGACAATTAGGAAAAAAAATCCTAAATAAATCACTCAGTGAGTGCCTAGCCAGAGTGCTCATCAAACTGGAGTCACTTGTATCACTCTGGAGAGCTGGGAGGAATGCTGTACGGAGCGCAGCTGACCCGGCACCCAGGAGGACCTCCCTGTGGGTTTGCAGGACCAGAATGAGGCCCCTTCATGGAACGCCCCCTCCTGCATCAGCCCTGCTCCTTCCTGAGGCTTCCTGCAACAGCCGTGCCCTGGAGTCAGCCAGCTGGGCCCTCCCACCTGCCTCAGGACCCGGGAGCCAATTGACAAGCCTTCTTTGTACAGAGACTGAGGCCAAAGACAGGGGAACCAGGACCTCATCGGGAATAATATCTCCATTTCCAGAGAAACCGGCAGGACGTTCCTGCCTGCTGTTCTCCTGGGCAGGTTCCACAGACACTTCAAAGTCTCCTGGAGCCAAAGGAACAGGCGATGAGCCCGCAGCCACCCGGCGGATGCTCTGGTTGTAATAAAACAGGGTTCCCAACAGGACTCCTTTGATGGCGCCAAATGTTGCTTTACGTGCCTCTGAAGAGCTCCACGGACAGGGGGAGTGTATTATTCATGGAACCACAGCCGGCCGGCTCTGATCCCTCCAGCCCCGGTCTTTCCCAGGGTCGTGGAAAGATCAAAACTCGACCCGGAAGTAGCTGCCTACCTTTCAGGTCCTGAGGGTTGTCGATGATGAAATTGCCATTCCACACCACAGCGAAGTCCACAGCCAGGTTGCTGATGTCCATGCCGTCATACTGGTACTGTGGGGAGAGGGCAGGGGCACATGTCCACGAGGAATTCTATCCCAGGGGGTCAGGATGCTGCCGGCACCTCAGGGTGCCAGGAAACAAACCAGGGACTCTGGTTCCCTTTGGACCAAGAGAGAGGCAAATGGAGAGACAGGAGCCCCAGGCACTGTTCACATCATCCCTACGGTGCCTTCCTCCGACTCCCAGTCACTGATGCCAACAGGATCCCGCTCAGACCCCTTTGCTGGCGTTCGATACCTCCTATGATCCAATCCAGGCTTAGTTCTCCAACCTTCGCTTCCACTGCTTTCCTCCAGAAACCTCTGGAGCCCCTGTCTCCGAGCAAGCTCTCCTAAGCCCCTCGCTGCATCTGTTCAGTTCACACCTCACAAGCAATGCCTCCCCTCTCCCGACAGCCTCCAGCCTTCAACATCTTACCTCTTTTAGCCTGGTTCAAATGCACCTCACCCCAGGGGCCTTCTCTGCCCTCCCTCCCAGCCCACCCCATGCTCCCCGTCCCCTGGTGTTTGGTCTTGAACCCGGCATTTCCTGGATCTGCACTGCATTTTTATCCACGGAAGTCTCTTAGGAAGTCCACACACCGCTCTGGACACCCCGCAAAGCCCTGACACAGCATGTGTGTAACAAACGGCAGTGCCTCGGTGGTTGATCGGCCGGGCCCTGCAAGGCCCTTTCTTTCCGTGTGTGAGCTTTACTTCGGTCACCAGTTCACTAGGAACCGTGCCCAGAGCTTTGCGGGCACACCTCTGAGCAGCCCAACCCCTGAAGGCTGCCAAGCTGCAGCCAGGAGTGGACTTCCTCCCAAGCTGATCCCGCCTGGGGCCCTCAAGACCTCAGACACATCAGAACCGCCCCTCTGGTCCAGCTCCCGAGCCTCGGTGGAGACCCCCCGGGACTCCCCGCTGCAGGGGCTGCCCAGCCTGGCCACACAGCTCCCAGGGCCCATCACAGTCAGCCCGCCCCTCTCCCCGGCTTCCTGCCACCTTCCTCCCTTTGTTGTGCTCCACGGCTTTCTCATCTCCCACCTTCCCTGGGTGTTGGGCGGTCTTCCACCGATTACAAATTCTATCAAGCGCCCGTGACCTGAGAACCCGACAGCTCCCTGATAAGAGGCCCAAGATTCTCTTTATCGCTCGCAGGCGAATTACCTTCCCTCAGCAACTTTGTCACATTCCTCCCCCCGCCATCTCCCAGCTGACCCCCCACAGGCAGAGACAGGGAGCTGGCAGATGAAAAGATCTTCTCTGGGCCAGCAGGATAATGAAACACCTCGTGGGGCTCTCTGTCTGGCATTCGGGATCGGTTTAACCCTTGCTGCTCTTGAGGTTCACTGTGTCCTCCTCCTCCCCGCGCCCCCCCACCCCCCGCCATGGCCTTCCTACCTCCCCTGGTCCCTTCCGCAGCTTTCCTCCTGTGTGGTACCCTCCCTGCATCCGCTCCCCGAACTGGGGCAGGCTCTGGGGTCACATTGACTGGTGCTGAAAAAGTTTCACCAAAGGCTTAGAGGTACTCTTTCAACTCGGAGAGGGCGCAAAGCCCTCAACTTAAGCCACGGGGGTCCTTGCAGCCCTCCACTCCCTCCATCACCTGCCCTGCTCTGCTGAGGAAACCCGGGTGTCTGTATATGCTCCTCTGTCTCTGTGGATGTGGGTCGCTTGTGGACGCGCAAGGTTCTAGAAGCTGGGGGGAAGCCAGGCTGAGGCCCTGGCTCAGGTGCGAGACAAAGGCTGGCTCTGGCTGGCCTGGGCCCCGGTCCTCTTACCGAACTGTTCTGGCACTGGACGCTGGAGCTGTTGAAGCGCAGGGCAGGGACCCGGTGGACTGCCCCCTGGATGTTGAGGACGCATTCATAGCCCCGCTGGCCGGACTGAGGCTGGGGCAGGTTTCGGGCCTTGAGGGTGATTGGCTTCACTTCCCCGACTGGTATCAGGATCTCCTCGGTGGGGACCAGCTGGGGGCAGTCCTGGGAAGCAAGCAGAAGGCCTCCGTCTGGTCTGTCCTGGCTCATACCTCCCTACTCCCCAAGCCCGGGTTGGGGGACAGGCCCTCGATGCCCAGCCAGACCCCCTGCAACCAGGTGGGCTGCCCCTGAGGACGCTCCTCGTTTAAGGGGCACGTGGAGTCAGCAGGGGACGTGAGACCTATCTCTTAGCTCTGGGGCTTTGAGATTGCCAGCCCACGAGTCATCCTGAATCTGGTGCACATGTTACCATCGAGGAATTAAATTTTCAAGCCTTGATGTGGCAGGTTGTGGAATTTTTATCTCCTGAGACACAGGACAAACGAGGCTCCACACGTGCCTGTCCCCAGCCTGGACGCCCCCACCACTGGTTGCATCTCCCCACTGGGCTCCAGCTCCCCACCCGCTGGCACCATCCGTGCCCGAGGCCATCTGTTATCGGCAGTCTCAGCTCCCAGCTCCGGCTGAGCAGTCTTTCCAGGAGGTAGATAAAGCCCCCACTATACCCACCGCCCCCCTCCTCCACCCCCACTAGCAATACTCTAAACGCTTGCTCTGGCTTTTTATCTCAGTTCATTACCAGGCCTGGCGTGAAGACCATGTGGCTTTGGAAAACAAAACAGAAACAAAAGAAAGTCTTGGTGGGCCTGGGCTGTGGGGAAGGACCATGAGAGAGGCAGGACGCGAGGAGGAGAGTGATGCCCCATAGCTCTTCTCCCAGAGGCTGTTTCTCTGCCAGAGGTCAGGTGGCCGCCTCCCCGCAGCGCCACACCCTGCCTACTCTCTCCCTCTCCGGGAGGACATTGCCCAATGGCCTGGGGCAGTCAGGACACGCAGCCTCCTTCACGTGCAACCGTGTCCTGTCTCCAAGGATCAGCTGGGCCAAGTCTTGAAGGAGGCGCCTATTTTCTGGTCCCCTTGTGGTCCATGGTGGTGGTGGCGGTGGTTCTTTAGGGATGGACGGTGGCGGTGGTTCTTTAGGGATGGACGGTGTAGGGTTGTTCTGTTGCTCTCCTGCAGAGGGCGCTACTGGTATTTAGGTGGGGGTTGGGGCAGGATGGTGAACTTCCTCAGGGGATGGGACAGTTCAGTTCAGTCGCTCAGGTGTGTCATATTCTTTGCGACCCCATGGACCGCAGCACGCCAGGCTTCCCTGTCCATCACCAACTCCCAGGGCTTACTCAAACTCATGTCCATCCAGTCCATGATGCCACCTAACCATCTCATCCTCTGTCGTCCCCTTCTCCTCCCACCTTCAATCTTTCCCAGCATCAAGATCTTTTCCAGTGAGTCAGTTCTTTGCATCAGGTGGTCAAAGTATTGGAATTTTAGCTTCAGCATCAGTCCTTCCAATGAATATTCAGGACTGATTTCCTTTAGGATGGACTGGTTGAATCTCCTTGCAGTCCCAGGGACTCTCAAGAGTCTTCTCCAACACCACAGTTCAAAAGCATCAAGGTGTGGGACAGTCTGGAACATTAAATGGTACTTCTCCAACGCCTGAGGCATCCCAGGAAAGAAGTCCTTGGTCCCACAGGAATGTTGAACAATGGATGGCCTGGGGTGGCAGGGTGGGGGAGGGGGGCAGAGGCAGGGGCTTCTGGCTCAGTGTGGGTTTAAGCAGTGGGCCTCAGAGAGAAGTCCTTCACTGTCTGGCCCCCGCGTCCCTATTACTATGAGATTCCTGTGCATCGAGGTCCAGCCATACTGCAGACGAATTTGAGATCAGACCTGAGGAGTCATCGCCCTCACTCATCAACCTCTGGTCCTTTGAAGATGCTTTTCTCTCTAGTGGAAACACTCCCCCTCCACCCCTCATCTTCCTCCTGGCCCCCGACTCAGCCCTCTTTAGCTGATTACCTGGTAATTGGCCTTCAAACTCAGCTCTGCGGCTCCTCCTTTGTAAAGCTGCCCCCGACCCCGACCCCATCCCTGTCCTGGCAGGTCACAGATCCTTCCCCACCCCCGGGGCCCCCGCTGACTGCACTGAGCCCTCACAATTGCGGTTTCCTGCTGACTTGTCCTCCTCACAGGCCTGTGAGCCTTGAGGACTAGGCTGCATCTTACTCACTTTATCCCCATTCTGACATGTAGTGGACAACTGCTCATGGCTTGTGGGAAGGTAAGTGGAAATCAAGGAAGTAAAGCAACAGAAAAAACTATCTCAAACTCTCCTTTTGGCTCCAACATCCCAGATTCTTCCGAGATGAGGGTAAATCCCTGTCTTTAGGACATCTAGAGACTTGGGTGGGAGTTTGATTCCCAAAGCTGGGATTGATTTGGTCACTGTTTCTGGAGTCACAGGATTGCTAAATTGGTATGTCCGTTTCTACGGAGGAATCTTGAGGATTTACGAAAAGCTGGGTCCAGGAGAAGTTTGCCACAGAAGCCTGCCTAGGAGGGTCTGGCAGAACCTGTGGGGTCACGGAGCCATCCCTCGGTGCCTGCCTGTGAGGGCACGGGGCAGGTCTCCACAGGAGACAGCATCACGAGGCAGCCCCAGAACAGATGGGGCCCTGTTTAGAAGCGGTCACTCAAGCTGCCAACCCATAAACATGCTCTTTGCTGCACTTTTACTGTCATTCCCCGAGGGCACTCTCGACAGAGTCTTTCATATATTTATAGCCAAGAAAAAAAAAAAGTGAACACCACTTTAGGAAAACCCAGACATCCCATAGAAAAGGAGATACTATTTCCTGTTAGTGGCTAAAAGTCCTCATTGAGTCTAATAAATCAGAATTTTAATTTAGATTGGAAATAAGACTGAGGTACAGCAAGGGATGTTTGCGTGTGTGTGTGTATGTGTGTGTGTGTGTGTGTGTGTGTGTGTGTGTGTACCTGTAAGGGAGAGAGGGAGAGAATAGATTTTCAGAATCAGAACTAGTTGATATATTGTAAAGGATGACCCGTTGTTTTTCACCTCTAACGAGCTCAGAGAACAAACTCAAATTTCACGAGCAGAGTCTTTAAGACGTACTTTTGGGAGTATGATGTCTTAGGGTAGTGAACAAGTTTGTAGAATCTTATTAATCATGACAAAAATACATGTATGCATGTGTACATGCATAAATACACACCTACATACCCACATACACCCTCATCTTTCGGGCTGGGTTGTCTGATTCAGCCTGAAAGTTGAAGAATCATAAGTAGACTTTATGAGTACTTTTATGTATTTTTTAAAGAGATTCTAAAATTTTATTAAAAAAAAATTCCCACGGTCTGCTGTTTCAGACTCTCTGGGACTAAGCTGAAGGGTGATGGTTAGGGGCTTCCAAATGCCTAAAGAGGGTTCCGAGACTGCCCCTGGAGAAAAGAATCTCAGGCTTAGCTTGTTTCTTTTCTTTTTTGGCTGTTTCTCTCGGGCCAGACAGAATCACAGCCTTCCTTGCATTCTCTAGGGCAAAGGAAAGATGTGGCTTCTCCAGGTGTGCTTTCTTCTCCTAGGAAGGAGGGGATACACAGACTCCTTGGGTTATGAGATGGTTCCGCTGACTGTCTGGAGGTAGCAGTGGGTCTTGGGTGGAAAACGCAGTGGTGAGGGCTGAAGGTGCGGGAGAGAGAACATCGTCAAGCTGTGGGAACGTCAGTTCCTCTGGGGTTTGTGAAAGGTGACACTGTGCTGTGCTGGCTAAGTCGCGCAGTTGTGTCCAACTCTGTGTGACCCCATGGACTGTAGCCTGCCAGGCTCCTCTGCCCGCGGGGATTCTCCAGACAAAAATACAGGAGTGAGCTGCCCTGCTCTCCTCCAGGGAATCTTCCTGACCCAGGAATCGAACCAGGGTCTCCTGCATGGCGGGCAGATTCTTTACCATCTGAGCCACCAGAGAAGCCCAGGAATACCGCAGTGGGCAGCCTATCCCTTCTCCAGGGGACTCTTTCTGACTCAGGAATTGAATCGGGGTCTCCTGCATTGCAGGTGGATTCTTCACCAGCTGAGCTACCAGGGAAGCCTGTGGAAGGTGATAGGTTTCATCAAATATAAAAGGCCATTTCCAACCTGTTTGCTCCTGGGAGTACACACACACACGCTACACCCTTCCTGCAGAGTGTGAGGACTGCTGTAAACGCTGCGAAAGACATTGCTCCAGCAGACACCCCCAGTCTCCTGAGTGAGCTCTGGAGGTCATTCTACTCCTCCCTCTGCCTCTAGGTCAATGGGCAGCAGGATCCCGCTCCTTAGCAGCAAGCTGAGCTTCTATAGAGATGAGCAGATGTCCTGCTTGGGGACGTTGCAGGGCAGGGGTGGGCTGAGGAGGAGGGGATGTGACTGGGGGGGGCAGGACCTGGCCCCGCAGCCCGATGGACGAACCTCTGGGCTGCATGGTCCACCCTGTTCAGCTGTGCTTCACCGGCTCTCAGCGCGGGGGACCCTTCCTTCAGCTCTGGAAACGACTGCTCCCACGTGCAAATGACATTATCTTCACCCACTGGACTTCAAAGAGAGAGAGCAGTCCGCATCCGGGTAAGCTAATCGGATTTATGTGGTTCTATCTTTCCCCCGGGACAGGGCGTAAAGGAGATATTTATGTATCTACATCTCACTAGGCCTGGTTTAGCCATGGTGGGAGACGAGCTTTTCAAGTTGAAAGCCATACATACTCTGGCGCACACCCGCTTGCAAACACCATGTCACCGCTTAACCTGGCCCAGGGAGGCCCAGATTTCTGGGGCCCCATCTGAGACGGGCTGCACTCTGAGTGGGGGAAAGGTCGTGCTTATGAACTTAAAAGCGCTCAAGAGATGGCTCAGTAGAAATTCAAGTTCCTCATCTACAAAACGGGCGTCCCAGGTGGCGCTAGTGGGTAAAGAGCCCGCCTGCCAATGTAGGAGACAGAAGAGATGTGATTTCGGCCCCTGGGTTGGGAAGATCCCCTGGAGGATGGCATGGCAACCCACTGCAGTATTCTTGCCTGGAGAATCCCATGGACAGAGGAGCCTGGCGGCTACAGTCCATGGGGTTGCAAAGAGTCNAATGTAGGAGACAGAAGAGATGTGATTTCGGCCCCTGGGTTGGGAAGATCCCCTGGAGGATGGCATGGCAACCCACTGCAGTATTCTTGCCTGGAGAATCCCATGGACAGAGGAGCCTGGCGGCTACAGTCCATGGGGTTGCAAAGAGTCACACATGACAGAAGAGACTTCCCACACAGGGATCTATAAAATGGGAGCAGTGATACTTGATAACTCTACGTTGCAGGCAAGAGGGACGTGAAGGTCTGTTGTCAGTGGTAATAAACCGGATTAACCATGTTAATATTATCACTGTATATTTCTCGTGTGAACGCAAGATCAGAAGACTTCAACCTATTCAGTGCCAACCTGGGAACACTGCATTTCTGCATTTATGTGAGGATCATAGAAAACTGTTTAAACTTATCAGTTTATTCATCTAGGATAGAATTTACTTCATAGAATAGTTACGACTGAGATTAAAAATATGTATGTATAATGTTGCATATATAATAGACTCTCAACAAATGCTAACTATTAACATGTTTATTTTGAATTGCGTTCACTCTAGGACCTCCCTGGTTCCTCAGATGGTAAAGAGTCTGCCCTCAATGCGGGAGACCCAGGTTTGATCCTAGAGTCGGAAAGATCCCCAAGAGAAGGAAATGGCAGTCCACCTCAGTATTCTTGCCTGGAAAATCCCATGGATGGAGGAGCCTGGAGGGCTACAGTCCATGGCGTTGCAAAGAGTCGGACACGACTGAGCGACTAACACTTGCATTTTCACTTGGCTCAGCGGTTCTTGGTTTTCAGGACTAAGCCCGGGATTGGTCATCAGCCCTTTGGAAAGAAGTAGGCAGATGTACCTCGTGTACTGGCCACCTTTGCATCTGGACGTGGTACTATTGACCTGTCTTCCATGGGTGGTTTCCATCTGTGTGACTGCATTTGTGTGGGTCCCTCTACACCCTGGGGCTTCCCAGGTGGCACTAGTGGTAAAGAACCCACCTGCCAATGCAGGAGATGTAAGAGATGCAGCTTCCATCCCTGGGTCCGGAAGATCCCCTGGAGGAGGGCATGGCAACCCACTCCCGTATCCTTGCCTGGAGAATCCCAAGGACGGAGGAGCCTGGCAGGCTACACTTCATGGGGTCTCAAAGAGCTGGACATGACTGAGTGACTGAGGACCACAGATACATACTCCACACCCCGAACCCTCATGACCAACAGCACAGAGCCTGCTTGAGGTCAGGCCTGCAAGTGTAGCTGAGACCATGAAAACAGACAAGCAAACGGGTCCTGATTTTCTGGAGAGAGCGTCCTATACTCTGCCTTTTTGGATGCCTGAGTTCTCTGTAGCCTTAGGCAAAAAAGAAAAAAAAAAAACTAAAATTTTAGCATCTTGGTTACTACATCTGTCAAATATGAATTATGTGAAACTGCAGGTCTGTTGTGAGAATCAATTGAGATGCCATATGTCAGTGGTTCTCAATCTTCAGCTTACTCTGGGATGGGGCCCAAGAATTTGAATTTCTAACAAGTTCCCAATCATCCCCGGGGTGGGGCCTGGGGCCTGTCAGCAGGGTGAGGAGGAGGAGATGTTTCTCTCACTTCCAGGAGCAGATATTAAGGAGAGGAAATGAACACGGAGCCGGGAAGCCTCTGGCTTTCTCCCCAGGGCTCTTTCGGTATTAATTTAATCCTGACTTGGGCCCGCCTCTGCCAGGCCCGGCTCTCTGGAATTCTTGAGTCACCCGTGGCCGAGAACTGTGTTCCAGGGACTTCTAGAGCGCGTGAGGGAGGCGGCAGGACCCAGCTCGCCCTCCGGGCCGCATCCCCTGGCCCCACACAGGGCAGAGTTCCTGTCTCGCTGGGTCTCCCAGCCCCTGGTGCGTGCTCCTGGCTTGCAGGTCCCATCAGGCTCGGCTTTGGGTTTCTCTGGGCCTGAAGGAGCCCAGCCGCCAGGAGAAAATGAAGCAGCTTCTCATCCGGATGTCCACATCATCTTCCCTCTTTCTCGGCATTCTGTGGGCCTCCTCCACTTATTTCATCAACCAAGTGAGGAGGTTAAGGGCTTCCCTTGTAGCTCAGCCAGTAAAGAATCTGCCTGCAGTGCAGGAGACCCAGGTTCCATTCCTGGGTGGGGAAGATCCCCTGGAGAAGGAAATGGTAACCCACTCCAGTATCCTTGCCTCGAAAATCTCATGGACAGAGGAGCCTGGCGGGCTGCAGTCCACGGGGTAGCACGTGGACTGAGTCGGGCACGACTGAGCGACTAACACTCACTTACTGACCTAAGTGAGGAGGTTAGAAGTGTGTGTGAAGGTCAGCTTCTGGGGCCTTTACTGCCCAGCCTTGGCCTCAGCGTCGCCCTGCTCCTGGCGTCTGGCCTCCCCTGGCCGTTGTCCTGCGGACGCCCAGGCTGGGCTCCCCCCGCTCCCAAACTCCCTCGGCTCGTGGGTCCTTCCCTGTGGGTGAGAAGATGGGCCTGAAAGCAGTCTCAGCCTTCTGCAGGACCCCGGTGCTGGGATCAATTTCCGATGCCCACTAAGACCAGCATGGCACTTTCTGGTCAGCTACTTCAAAGCATCGTGACTGGCTGGAGCAAAGGCCTTCCCTGGAAGGTGCTCAGGGCCCCAGAGAACTGGCTCCATCCCGCGGAGGCACCTGTGGTTGGGTCTGCCTGAAATACAGCCTGTGGGCACCATCTGTGTGTCTCTCTTTCAAGACAGGCAGATTTCATTTTTTTTCTAGCTGAATATGACATATTGTTTCAGAAGCTAAGAAGAATTCAAGGCTGTGTGTATATGTGTGTGTGTGCGTGCGTGAGCATGTGTTTGGGAAACCTTTCAAGGCTTACTTTCTTCTTAAATTAAAAGTTAAAAAAAAAAAGCTTTATTGAGGTATAACTGGGCTTCCCAGGTGGCTCAGTGGTAAAGAACCTGCCTGCCAATACAGGAGACCCCTGGCTTTGACCCCTGGGTCAGAAGGTCCCTTGGAGAAGGAAATGGCAACCCATTCCAATATTCTTTTCTGGGAAATCCCATGGACAGAGGAGCCTGGGGAGTCATAGTACACGGGGCTGCAAAACAGTCAGACCTGACTTAGCGGCTAAACAATTGACAAATAAAATTGTAAGGTATTTAATACTGATGAGCCTATTACAGGGCAGGAATAGAGACGCAGACAGAGAGCACGGACTTGTGGACACGTCGAGAGGAGGAGAGGGCGGGACGAATTGAGAGGTAGCACTGAAATATTTACGCCACCATGCGTGAAATGGGTAGCTAGCGGGAAGTTGCCGTAAAACACAGGGAACTCAGCCTGGTGCTCTGTGATACCTAGGCGGGTGGGATGGGGGTGGAGTGGGAAGGAGGCTCCAGGGGAGGGGATACAGGGACCTTTAACGGCTGATTCTTATCCTTCTACAGCAGAAGCCAACACAACATTGTAAAACAATTATCCTCCACTTTAAAAAAATTAAGTGTACAACACAATGACATGTTGACCAAGGTGCGCTTTCTTGGAAGCAACTGGTAGTTCTACCTCGATTAGGAGAGACAAGAGACTTTTTCTTGAAATCTTAGACAAGGAGCTCCAAGGAACACTTCCTATCATGATGTTTGTTTAAAGTGGTCACTGGTTCCTCGCATAGAGGAAGCAAACATGAAAGCATATTTCAGGCATGCATGCTACAGACTTTCACTGAAAAAGGCCCTGAGGGTTTAATGATGAGATGTAACTCCCGTGTTTAAGGAGGCTGTAGTCTAGTGCAAGAGGGAGACAGAGAAATATCACAGCAATATTTGTACACGCTACATAGTCACTTACTTACATTTATGGATTTCCTAAAAGGTAGAATGAGATGGGGATGTATATTCATGCACATGTGTGTTTGTGGGGATATGTAAGGTCTCTGCAGTTGTTCAAACCCAACTACTGGTCACCCTGGGGCATGAAAAACATTAGATATGAGAAAAGGACATTGACCCAGCAGGCTTCATTGTCCTAAGGCCTACCGTGAGCTTGTAAGAAAGGGAGCCTCAAGGAAACATCACTGGGTGGGATTATTTATTGGAAAGATAAGCAATTTAATATCTCCCTGTGTTGAGAACAAAGATGGAACCGGTCTTAGGGATGGCACATCGACAGTATCATAAAATGTGACTTTAGCAAGCCTGGGTTCTTTTCACCAGTGGACTGCCTCTCTCTTCTATAAGGCCACCTACTCAGTCATACAAAAGAGTCAAAGAATCATTGAATTTTAGCCTAGGAAGAGAGGCCGGCATGAAAGAGTGGTTGAGAGTGAATGTTCTATTGAACTAGACTATGTCTGCAGCCAAGCAGAGGGCTTAAAACTCAGAACAAATGCCATTCTCTACACTCTTCCAGACCGTGGAGTCTGTTTGGTTGGATATGTTTCCTCTGAGCTTTCAGTCTCAGCCCTCGGCTCCCCTCGAACTTCTGAATGAATACAATTCTAGGAGTCTAGCAAATACAGCACACTTCTCCTTCTCGGGAGTATTTGCTGCCATTTTTTTTTTTCCTTTGGCTTTATAATACCAGGGCTTTGTAACCTCTCTGGAAGAAGCCCAACATGGACCAGGGCCAGGAGATGGCCAAGCTGTCGGACTGACCATCTGAAAAGGGAGGTCTGCTGAGATTCACTGGGGATGTTCTGTGCCAGGTTGAGCCCCGCTTACCTCTGAAATGTTGATCCGGCCCTCCTGGAAGGAGCAGGTGGTGGGGTCATGAGTGCAGAGGTTTCGGTATTTGCACCAATGGCAGCGGAAGGCGCTGTTGACACAGGACAGGCACCTGCAGAGACACAGACAGTGAGAGGCAAAGAGGCAAGCCCACGGGGAGGGGGGTGCCGGGGCCCTCGCGCCACGATGGGAGTCCGACATCCGAGTCTCACTCTCAGGGGGCGGACTGGGGGGCATCCCCAGCCCTGAAAATTGTGACTTCTCCCTCTAAGATGCTCAGGGGACCAGAAAATTGCGTCCAGAGTGGGAATGATGTTTCCGAAAGCAGTGGAGTGCTAGAGCTGGTCTGTGTCAGCTCCTGACAGCCAATTATTCATATTTTCAGGAACGCTGCAAGCGGGTCATCGACATGATAGTGGCTTGAAACGAGCCACAGAGGGAGTTGATGTTCCGAAAGCAGTGGAGTGCTAGAGCTGGTCTGTGTCAGCTCCTGACAGCCAATTATTCATATTTTCAGGAACGTTGCAAGCGGGTCATCGACATGATAGTGGCTTGAAACGAGCCACAGAGGGAGTATTTATGCCATAGAAATTGGAAAATGCCACCTAGTAAGCTTTTCCCCCTGATTTCTGATAGCTAAACATTTGCCAGCCTAGCACCACTTATAAGAGGGAAGAGCCCAAGGAGGGCAGGGATAGGAACTGGGCCGACCTGGTTCCCGTTTTGCCTCTGCCCCTGCCACTAGGGCTGCCCCGAGCAAGTCGCTTCACCTTCTGAATCAGATTTCCTTCGTCCGTCTGTACTAAAACTTTTCTGTCCACTCCATGGGGTTGTTTTGTGTCAAACGAGATAACGTACAGGACATGGTTTTGAAAAATATAATGCTAAATATATTATTTTTAGGGGCTTACCTTACCTGTTATTTCAAGCTCTTAAATCATATTTGAGTGTTCACAGTTAGTTCATATCACCTGTGTTTTGGAGTTTGAGTGGAGTGAATGGTATCAATTGACAACTCTGTCACCCTCTCCAAGTAGCCAGACATGGTAGTGACAGGCTGTGTATGGCTCCTGCCTTTCTCACCAGGTAGAGCGCCTCTTTCCCTCCGGTTTCCCCTGCATTCTATGTGTATCGTCCAGGTGCCCTGTGTGCAGTCAGACCACCATCAGGGAAACAGGTTTGCCCGGTGGAATTGTTCTACTTGCTCTTTTCCTAGTCCAGTCTTGTCACCACTAGACCAACTCGGCGGGCACATGGCCAGGTCTGCAAACTGGCGCCACCTGCTGGGGGCTCTAACGGCATTCGGGCGGATGGGGCTTGATCCAGGGGCCATTGGCTTATAAGCCACAGCGGACTGGGCGTGTTTCCCCATGCCAAATATTTTTATCCCCTTCTAAATATGCCCATAGTCATTTCGTTCCTGAACTTAGGCCAGATGGATTGGGTCTTCCTCACATCTTACGATTCAGCAAGTAAATCACCAAAATGGATCAAGGATGATGAGATTAGGATTCTTTGAGAACAGGCTTGTCGATTTGCTAATTTGGTGACCTCCAATGGAGCACTTATTCCCTCTGGGCCTTAGTTTACCACAGTAAAAAGGAGAGGTTTGAACTCAATCCTGTGACTTGTAACTGGAAGGATAAGATAAGACAGTGCTTGGCAATAAAATGTCAAAGATACTTGCTTTTCTTTCTGCTAGAACTTGCTGCCTGTGACAGCATCTCCACTGCCATGATAATCCACGGTGGAAAGTGGTGACATCACACCGGGTTGCCGTGGAGATGAGGACGTTCTCACAAGCAACGCGTTCCATCACCACTGTGCTGGAGTGTGAGAGGGAGGTCGGGGAGTTCCCACTCCAAGAAGCTCGCAGTTCCCAAAACAGGGTCAGCTGGGATTGGAACGCAGGGCTTAGGGGGCGATTTTATCTGGTTCAGCTTCTGCCACATACTGCCTTGCCTTGGCTCCTCCCAGGCCACTTTTTATCACTTGTTCTGTCTTCTCGGCACATCTATTGATTTGTCCCAAATGGGTCCAAGTGACGTCTCCTTCCTTAGCTACTCTGGAGACCTGAGAACTCCAGCAGATGATTCCCATCATGAAAATCCAAATCAGAAAATGGGAGACGAACGAAGTTCATTTGTCTATTTTAACAGCTTAAAGGTTCCTTTAGGGCTTAGCTGCTAACAGACCCTTTCCCCACACGGATAGCTGGGCCCATCATGGCCACAGCCTGGACCCTTGGACTTGACGCCACTGGAGTCCTCGGGGGGATCCTGTCCTGGGCAACAGGAAGGATGGGTCCAGAGAACGTTCCCAGGTACTTCTCCCTCCGGCCTGGAGCTCTTGGTTGATCTCTGCTCTTGCCTATGACCAGGGTTATGTGGCCCTTACGTGGCCCTATTATAGAGATCCAGGTTGCTCTTTTTCTAAATCAAACAGTGCATGAGTTTCCAGATGACATGGAAAGAATCTCAGTTTCACTTCAAGAGAAGACGGGCAGAAACTAAGTGTGGGCCCCTCTCCTCCACTCCTGGTCCTGATTTTTACTTATGAAATGCGCCTGGCTTCCTGCACTGCTCTCAGTACCCATAGCGCTCAGCTGCTGGAGGTGGCTGGTGAGGTCAGAGGGGCGGCACCTCAGCCCCTCTGGGATCGATGGTTGGGTCTGGTTTTCCCTTCCTCCTTGAAAAGCTGAAGGCTCAGTGTGGACCCTGGTAGAGTTGAAAGCCTCCTCGCCCTGCCCCAGCCCGGGTCCTTTATTTGGTCCCCAGCCCGGCCCCTTCCTCTGAGGCTGCCATCTCTGAGTCCCTCTTCATGTGCCCACGGATGATGTGGCTAAGTTCCGCTGGCTGTCGATCTCCACGTTCAAAGCCACCACTCGCTGGCATAAAAGGGAGGACTTTTCTTCAGGCCCCTGGGCCGTGACTTCTGTTTCTACTTCAAACCCTTTTTAACTCTTAGCTTGAGAGTTGAGGGTAGGGTGAGTTGCAAGGGAGACTGCGTGTGATCAGAGGCTGTGGACAGTGTAATGCCGCTCAGTTTGGTATAACTGAATAAACGGAATATAACTGAAATATTTATGGGGCACTTTACGCTCTTCTAGACAAAGTGCCACGTCTGATCAGGAGACTGGGTGGTGAATGTAAGACAATTCTTGTCCTATGGGAACTCAGGAAAACCCCAGACCCAGGGCAAGGCAGGTGGCTTCTGGCCTGGGCCTGCCATGACCCACTTGCTCACCAGTCTCCTCTGACCTCATCTCTAAGGGAGGGTGCGGGTCTAGGTGACCTTCCCGCTCTGACACGGAATGATTACGAGTGCCGCTAGGGGCGTGCTTACAGTTGGTGGGCGCTGCAGTTGTAGAACTTGAACTCAGTGCTGACGAATATCTTCCCTGTCTCCTTGGATCTCAGCTGCAGCTCTAGGCCAAACCAGTCTGGAAAAAAAGGGGAAAAAAAGGAGAGAGTTACAAGCTGGGAGCCCAGTGGAGAGGCTGGGGCTAAATCATTCAGCCACCCCGGGGCTCCCATGGGGCAGTGATGGCAGATGGAGCCTTCCTGAGTCCTCTTCCAAGAGAGTCCCTATCATCCTTCTGATGACCAGCCCATCACTGAGACCCAGACACCCCAGGACCCCCTCTTAGGGAGGAGGTGATGGATCAGATCCTACAGAGTCCTCTGCCTAGGTTGAATATGCTCAGTTACTAAAAGACTGTCAGCAATATCAGGTCACCAATATAAAAATAAAACAAAAAAAATATATATATATATCAGGTCAAAACCCCTAAAAGTCCACAGTTCTATGGAGAGAACCTACTAAAAACCACTGGCTGAAGCCCCCGCCATTCCTGGAAGGGAAGAGAAGTCTGGAAAAACTCTTATGCACGCTGTGGAAGCTTAATCCAAACGGGAGACAGGGACCTCCCTCTTCCGGAAATTTCCTTGGGCCATGACAGTTTGCTTTCAAACTTAAATGGGTTTATAAGTCAGATGAGTGTCTGGCATAAGAAGACCTAGTCAGGCAGCTGCCAGTCAGTCTGTGCCAGTACTTGCCACCCTGTCCCCTGGGTCCCCTACTCTGGGCCAGCCTGATCGAGCAGCCCCGAGCATTCGACGCCCATTGCAGACGCTTCTTACCCTGATCCAGAGGGATGACAGGCACATCCTTGGGTCCCGGTGAGATGCAGATGACCTGGCTCCCAGATACTTGTCCCTCTACCTCTGTCAGGTTCCCAAAGGCACAGGAGATGCCCACAGACAGATCGGGGGCATCGCTCACAACCAGGCTGAGCTGTGGGCGGAGCAGAGAGACGATGCTGTGAGAAGACCCGGCAGGGCTCGGGAGACCTGGGCTCCAGGCCTGGCCCTGCCGCTGTCCACTTGCTCACTCCTCTCCCCGACCTCATCTAGGAAGAGGATGTCAGTCCAGGAGACCTTCTGGCTTTGACACAGAGCTGGTACAGTAGCACTGCGAGGGGTGTTGCAGGGTCAGTGGTCTCTATTATTAATATTACTTTTCAGTCTTGTCGGGAGTCATAAAGCACTGGGGGGAAAGGAAGGGATGCTAGGGGTGGGGGAAGGTCTCAAAACCCATCTCAGACTGAGCTCGTTTTGACATGAAACCATCCAAACTTGAAAGCTAGTCATGAATTGAGCCTGTCACAAATAAGCCCTCGCTCCGGTCCATAGGAGAACACGTGTCTAGCCTGGAGGTTTAGAAGGCGTTCACCACTTGGCTGGCTCCCCTCCCTGGTTCTCACTTAGGGGCTGCCTACCAAGGTGGGGGCTTCTATTCTCTGCCGGCCTCTGGCTCTCTGCCCCCTGAGTGCTCCCCGAGAGCAGGGCAGCCGCCTCCCAAGACACTTAGGGGAGCAGAGAAAGGCAGGAAGTGGACACCAGTGCCCTGGATGATGTCTGCGGTTCCCGAGGCTTCCAGGGAGGCAGGCCAGTGGTCTGCAGGCTTTTTGAGTTTGAATATCTTCCTCTGAATGGTAAAAAATATCACAGACTGTTAGAAGAATGATCGAGGAACCATTTAATAGGGAAACACCGCTCTGAATTCCACGCCCTCGGAAGTGGGTTTGTACTAAATGACAATATGATCTCTAGGTGGTATTGGACATGGGAGGTGAGAAACGTGACTCCCAGTGGGGAGTGCCCACGGGGGTTTGCGGTGGCAACACCCCGCGTCCTCCAAGAAGTGAGTTCTGAGAGAGGGAGGTCTCGCTTTGTCCTCCCACGATGCCTGGAGGGCTTTCTCAGCCCCAGCGGCCATCACCTAGCCTTTCCATACATTTGTCTGCCGCTGAATCTCTGCCCCAGTTTCGTTTCCATGGGGCCGAGAGACTTAGGTACAAACTCTGCTGTTTGTTCCCTCAGCTCTGCGGCAGCCAAAACCTCCTGGTGGGGATGAATGAACGCAAGCCTTGGAAGGTTCATTAAGTAATTAGCATTCGTGAATGCCCATAAAACCTCCAGAAGGAAATAACCCTACAGGGCCCAAGGACTTGGAGTATTTGGGATTGCACCTAGACAGGTATGGAAGGACTGCTGTATTCTCTTTAATATTCTCTTCGGCACACCCTGTGAATTAAGTCTCAGTCTCTCTGCGTCTGTCCATCTGTCTGTCTGCCTCTCTCTCACATACATGTACAAAGGCAACTCCAAGTTCCTGTGAGCGACTGTACCAGGCGGTCCCTTGAAATCTATATCATTCACCACAGAATGGGATGGGATTGCATGACGTTGCAGAGGCCTGTTACTAAATGCAAAATGTAGTTTTACAAAACAGATCAGTGGGTGACGAATCTGCAAGGAGTGGGGCAAATGACAGGGTCCTGGGCAACGACAGGTGTTACCGTAGTTTTCCTACAAAATGTCCTCGGAGCGCGTTTAGTCTGATCCATTTGCACGGTGCTGGCGCGCCGAAGGATCACACCCACGCTTGTGCGCGCGCTGCGCCCCGCCCCCAGGCCCCGCCCGGGCGCACTCACCAGCCGGCTGTGCTCAGACACGGAGATGCTGCTGGGCTGCACCTCGAGCCTCACGCACTGGCTGATGCTGGCGGCGAATCGGTTAGGCTCCCAGGCCCGCTGGCACCGGTCCCTGCGGGAACACCTGCCACAGACAGACGCACCGGGGTGAGTGAGGGGCTCTGCTGCTCTGAGGCCCGTGTCTTCTAGGGACGAGCTTCACTTCTTCCAGAGGGCTCGGGGACGCCCAGATGGTCTCCACTGCGGCCAAAGACAGACTAAGGCAGGGCCTCCCCTGGTGGCTCGGTGGGAAGGAATCTGTCAGGGGACGCGCACTGGCTGAAACCGGCCACCCTGGCCAGGCGCTGTAGTAACCATTGGCATGAGTTGTTTTACGACAGGAGGTCCTGGTGAGGAACACGGAACTAATGAGCCACCACCCACCGGAAGAGTTCGGGAAAGGTCAAAAGGAGACACCACGCGTCCGACCACCTCCCAGAATCCTCCTCGCTGGCATCCATCTTGGCTGACAAGGCCTGCGCCAGAGTCAGAATGATGGGCTAAAGAAAAGCCGGAAACTAGTCCCATCGCCGTAAGACCAGAGACTGTGAGCCACGTGGCGGAGTGGTTCTCCCGGGTCCCCTCACCCTCCTGCTCTCTGCCCAGTGGCCTTTCCAATAAAGTCTCTTGCTTTGTCAACATGTATATCTCCTTGCACAATTCATTTCTGAGTGTTAGACAAGAGACCAGTTTTGGGCCCTGGAAGGGGTCCCCCTTCCTGTAACAAATCTGCTTGCCGCTGCAGGAGACATGGGTTCAGCCGCTGATGTGGGAAGATCCCACAGTCTGTGGAGCAGCTAAGCCCGTGCCCCACAAGCTCCGAGCCTGCGTTCCAGAGTCCCAGGGATGCAGCTGCTGAAGCCCGCGCACCCCAGAGCCCATGCTCCGAAAGAAGAGAAGCCACGGCAACGAGACGCCCGAGCACTGCAACTAGAGAAAAACCCACGCAGCGACGGAGGCCCGGGACAGCCAAAAATAACAAAAACAAATTAGAAAATCATTTAAAAAGAGGACAGACCAAGAGAAGTGGGATCAATGCCCCCTGCCCCCCAATATGAGAGCTGCAGCTTAGACATAAAGAATAGCTCTTACAGACAGCATCTCAGTGAGTGAGGGACGGAAGGCTGGGAAACAGAAGAAGCATCAGGCAAGAGGCGAAGAATCTGAACTCTGGAGCCAGGCTGCCTGGGTTCTAACCCAGATCTACAGCCTAGTAGCTGTGGCCCCATTGGGCAAGTTCCTGGAAGACCCCATGTCTCAGTTCCCCCAGCTGTAAAATTCTGGGCCCAATGATAATACTGTATCTCAGAGGCCTGGTGTAAGTATTAAATGAATTAGTGTTTAGAAAACAGCCTGTTCTTGGCCCTACTAAGAAAAATATTAATGATGATGGCTATGGATATTATTATTATCCGCCCCCCCCCCCGCCAGGGACATGTAAAACCCTGGACAGGGTCTTAGCTGTGTGGGATAGCGTGCGTGTGACCCTGTGGCTGGATTCTGGCTCTTTGAAGGCAGGGGCCATGTTTTATTCATTGAGATAGTCCACCTGTCACGTGGTATATTTTCAATAAATGTTTGTGAAACACAGAGGCAGACAGGGAGGCATGGGCAGGGTTTCCTTTGTCAGGAAGTGCACGTGGCAGCTTCGTCCCACACCTTCATCTCTGGTCCTAGGCGCCGCGGGCCGCAGCAGCAGGTGAGCACTGTGACCCCTGCCTGCAGGGGCACGTGGTGGCCCCTGGGAACAAGCTCCACGGCTGGCGCTTCTCCAACCAAAGCGCCCCCTCCGCGGATGCGACAGGAGTCCACCACCCAGCGGAGATTCCCACCGAACTCCCCCCAAAGTCCCTCCCCCCGACCCTTCCTTGCCAGGCACATAATGGATCTAAATATGAACGCTGTCAAAGGAAAGAATTATGGAGGTTTAAGTGAATCCTTAAGATAGCTCTAAAGTGAGCTCTTGACTGGAGCCTTTATCTCATTGACTCACTGAAATGGCTCTTTTTTATCATACTATTTATGGCAACAGCCCCAACAGAGATAAATAGCCTCCGAGACAATAACACACTTGCAAGAGCAAGGCATACAGAAGAGGCAGGAGGGTTTCAGATCCACTCCGCCCCCGACCCCCGGTCTCAGAGGCTCTTGAGCAACCTCCCTCAGCCCTCTGCCTCCGCTCAAATCCAGCGTGTGGTCCCGGCCGCTGGAGGTGGTCCCTCCACTCGCCTCGTCACCCAGGCGAGGGGACGGCGGGTGGGCGGGCAGCCCGGAGGGGCCGAAGATGAGATGGGGCAGGAGTAAAGAAAAGTCCAGGTGAAACTGGGGAAAAGCTTGTTCCCCACATGGTGCAAGAGGCAAGCCTAGCTATTGGAAGGAGGGGGTGCATCCCTGGGATGTGATGACGGGGAAGGGGCTCAGAGCGCAGAGGAAACCTGAGACCCTGAGGCGGTGCAGTCATTCTAAGTCAGCCCCACTGACCTGACCCAGAAGGAGGACGGGTGGTCTGGGAGACTCGGACATCGTGGCTAGGTTGGCAGGGAGGAGCAGGGAGCGGGTGGTATGGCTGGACCTGCCCACTGCCCAGTGAGGGGGCCAGGTGACCCCAGGCCACTGCGAGGAGCTTGGGGTGGCTGTCAGGTTCCATGGAGGAAGAAACCCTCGTGAGGAAAGAGCGCCTGCTTGCTGTCGGGCCGGCCTCACTGATGGGAACCCCATCGTAGCCACCTCTCAATGCTGGAGACTCAGGTTCCATCCCTGGGTTGGGAAGATCCTCTGGAGAAGGAAATGGCAACCCACTCCAGTACTCTGGCCTGGAAAATCCCATGGACCGACGAGCCTGGTGGGCTACGGTCCACAGGGTCGCAAAGAGTCGGACACGACTGAGCAACTTCACTTTTCCCCTTGGGCATTCCCGGGGCCCAGTGGGGGCGCCGTCAGTATCTCTGCCACTTGTCCGACCCACATGGCAGCACTCTGTCCGGGTTCTGGTGAGGGCATTTCTGGCAAAAACTTTTTTGAGGAGCCGCTTACCTCCAAATCTAAGCAGGGAACCCAGTGTGTGTGGCGCCAATCCAGTCCGGATTTTGCATCTGCGGGGCGCCTGCTTCGCTCCCTCCCTGCATAGCCCTTCCAACACCTGCTGCGGAGGCTGGAAGCCAAGAGTGATTGTGCAGGACCCTGAACTCTGGCCCCCCGCCTCCGCCCCCACCCTAAACCCGCACTTCTCCTGGGGGTGCTCTGCTGGCTGGCACAGAGCCCTGGAGTTTCCGAGTCCGCTGGGGAGCAGAATTCCTAGCCAGCAGCTCCCCACCCCCTTTGGAGTTTCTTCCCTCTGCTCTCCCTCTGGGGCTCTTGGAGTTAGGAAGTTTAAATGCGATTTTGCATTTCTGTTGAGCTGGTATTCAGTGGCAGGGGGTGTATCTGAAAAGGGATGCGAGGCCAGTTGGAGTGAGATGTAGACTTCTTGGAATCAGGGACTAATGAGGCCAGAAGGGTCCTCCCAAGGGTTCCAAGTCCATGATCATCATTTTGATTTGTGTAGCTTATCCTGAGCTTTCTTACTGCCAAAGCATTTATATTTAGCATTTAATCCTCATGGTTCACCGGCGAGGTAGGCATTATCCCTTTTTAGCGATGGGGAAAAGGAGGTCCAGGGTTGTCAGTGGACCATCCTGGGTCACATGGCTGCTCACCGAAGTCCAAACTCCAGGAAGGAGGTGAAATGGCTACACTGAGGAGGTTCTTGGGAAACCTAGAGATGCTTTAACTTCCTTGTGAGTTCTTCCAACACCACTAGCCTCCCCTGCAGCAAAGGCAGACTTCAGAGCAGCTGGCTAGGGGTGGAGGGAGTAGGGGTCGGGTTTTGGAGGTGAGACCACAGAGGCACTGCCCTTGGAAAGAAGGTCACTCATGGCCTCTCTTCCTCTTTGCTTTCAGCACTCTGACCGCAATTAGAATTACTGCTCAGCAGAGGGAAATTCCTCTCTCCCTGCAAACTGAGGTCACATTCCTCATCAACACTCCCAGGAAAGTACCTGGTCTTCTGCATTCCAGGTTTTTTTTTTCTTTTTCCAGACTGTGCCGAACTTACATGTTGTGCAGGGCACACCAGCCGCAGTGAGGGTCCCCCGAGCTCAGGCACTCCCCGCAAGTCGTGTACTGCTCACAGGATTCCACGGGGACCCTGGTGATCTGGCCGAGAGGGAAAAGACAGCAGGTTAGATCAGGGAGTGATGCCTCCAGATGGTGTGTTCAGACTCAGTTACACCTAACCACTGTAGCTCAAATGGGAAAGAATCTGCTGCGATGCAGGAGACCAGCGTTCAGTCCTTGGGTCGGGAAGATCCTCTGGAGGAGGGCATGGTAATCCACTCCAGTATTCTTGCCTGGAGAATTTCACGGACAGNGATCCTCTGGAGGAGGGCATGGTAATCCACTCCAGTATTCTTGCCTGGAGAATTCCACGGACAGAGGAGCCTGGTGGGCTACAGTTCATGGGGTCGCAAAGAGTCGGACACGACTGAGCAACTCACACACACACCCGCACACATGCACTGCCACCACCCCTCGAGAGGTGAGACAACAGGGCTAAATCGGTCCTTCAGTGTCCCATCTGTTTCCCCTGCACAAGGCAGGTACAGCTAAGAGTCCCCGGGCTTCTGGCCTTTCCCAGAGGTGGGAGCAAGCCCTCCAGCCTCTCTCTGCCTGCGCGAAAGTCCTTGGGAGGGCTGGGCCTGCTCCTGGAAGATGATGGAAATGGTTAACTGTGCTGAAAGGCCATTGAGTGCCACCAACTAGTCTCTCAAGAGCTTTCAGCTGGGCTTGGGCTGAGACATCCTGTCTGCAAAGAAAACATTGATAAATAAAAAGAGAGAGAAGGAGAAACTTTCCCTATCAAATAATATTCACTAAGTGGCAGAGTCTTTTTACAGCCAAGCAAACGTGCCACCTGGATCCAATTACCCCATTCTCTGATGTCTGTATTCAGTTTCTCTAGTAAATCTCCCGTCCTTTGAAAAGTCTGGCTAAATGGGAACAGAGATGAGCTGCCTGTCTGATGCTGTCTTGCTGGGGAAAGAGGGAGTGTGGAGCTCGAGCCCGTGACCCCCCAGAGCAGGCAGCCTTCTCCTCCTGGCTTCCGGGGGAGGCCGTGAGGGGACAGAAACCAGGCCTGTGTGCTCAGTACTCACCCTTACCTGCCCAGTGGGTGTAATGTGAAGGCCAGGCAGAGGGTCAGAAGATTGAGGTCTTGCATTCGGTATGTCCTAGGTATTCGTCGATGGCTGAGCCCGCAGGCTGCTGGGCCGCAAAAACATTTGCTAGGCTGGGAATGGGATATCATTTGTTAGGGCAGAGAGGTCCCCCACCTACTGGATGTGTGAAGTCAAGCGGAAACACAATCTGTGGTCCAGCGGCCCAGTGTTCCGCCTCTGGCAGGGGGATGAAGGGTCTGATGGAGACGCCTTCACAGCATCCTCCCGAGAGGCTCGGGATGGAGTCTAACACGGCTCACCCAGCAACCGTTTTATCAGATGTCAGTGCGACAAGGCTCCAGTGCTGTGTGCTAGAGAAACTGCAGCGAACCGGACACAGATCAGCCCCCTGCAGAGCATGCAGCCCGCGGGACTTGGTAATTACAAACCAAGCCCTACTCTACATTGTGGCGAACATCCATCGCAGGCGAGGGGTATATGCCCTGGGGGCCTCGGAAGCTTAAAGGACGGGCCACCCAGCACAATCTGTCTGGAAAACGGACCAGCAGCTGAGTATGGGTGAGTCAGGGTAAGAGTGAGTCTGCTGCAGATGCCTGGAAGGGCCTTCCTAGCTGAGAGATCAGCACACACAAAAGTAATCATGGCCATTGGTGCATGCGAACTCAGTCCTGGCCGACTCTCGCAACCCCATGGACTGTAGCCCGTCAGGCTCTGCTGTCCATGGAATTTTCCAGGCAAGAATACTGGAGTGGGTTGTCATTTCCTTCTTCACGGGATCTTCCAACCCAGGGATCAAACCCGCATCTCCTGTGTCTCCTGCTTTGGCAGGTGGATTCTTTATCACTGCACCAGCTGGGAATCGTGGCTAAGTTTAGCCTAACTCAAGTGTGGCGTGCACGCTCGATGCGATGAGCTGAGAGATGAGGCTGGTGGGTGTAACCAGGGGTCAGATCATGAAAGGTTTGGGGTACCAACCCCAGAAACCTTCCTTCTCTGTCGGGTGCCCCCCCCCCACTCATTCTCCCCACATCGTAACACTTAACATTCTGAATTACAAAGCTTTCCCCTCTGAGTGACATGATCAGCTTTAAGCATTCCTGAGTTGCCTTTAATAATAAAATAAATGACATGCAGAAANCATCGTAACACTTAACATTCTGAATTACAAAGCTTTCCCCTCTGAGTGACATGATCAGCTTTAAGCATTCCTGAGTTGCCTTTAATAATAAAATAAATGAAATGCAGAAAGCCTAAGTGTAAAATCTGGAACTTCAGTTGAAAAAAGTGGATATTGTAAGTGGAGCTTGGAGGACAGCTGGTTTGAAATAGCTCATGCATGACAGGTGTGTGAGTCTGAGCGGACTCTGAACTCAGAGGTCCAGTCGGACCCGACAGGGTGATGGCACAGCTCTGGGGGCTAACTGGGTCATGGGCCGCGTTAACGGATGTGGAGTCGGGACGGAGGTGCCCGACCCTGGGGAGCTCCCAGTTCAGGGCTGGGCAGCCTGCCCCTGGAGAAGTGCAGCCCCAGCAGACAGACTTCCCAGAAGGGTGGTCACAGTGGGGCGGCACCCAGCGCTGGTATCTGAGATACAGCTCGAGAGACCTGGATGTCTCTTTAGCTCAGAGAAGATGAATCTCAAGGTGGACACGGACGCGGTCTACTGCAGTTTGAAGGGCAGCGCTGTGACGGAGAGGAGACCCGGGGTGAAGAGTTTCAGGAACGCGCGACCGAAGAACGTCGAGGCTGTCCAATAACGCAGCTGACCGGGGTCCTAGCAGGGACTCCCGTCCGTGGGAGGCATGAGCCGAGTCAAGGGGACATGTGTCTGGGAGGCTGTGGAAGGCATGCTTCTGCACCCAGAGGAAGGCCGCCTGAGTCCTTGCAGCTCTGACTTTGAGGACTCTCCTAACTCATCCCTGAGACTGCTGAATGAAAGGTAACCTCCAGCCATACCACCGGCCTTAAGGAGCCCCCGCGGACCCCTGACTCGCGGCCTGCGATTCCTGCCAGCAGCACCTTTCTGGCATGTGCCTGCCGGATGCTCTCCCTGCGGGCCCTTCCCCGCACCTGGGGACCCTCAGCCCTTCAGGGTATCTGTGACCCCAGTCGCCCAGTGGGGCTTCCGCTAGCGCCCTCCCCCTCCCAGCCCACCCTTGGAAGCCTGAGAGCTGCAGTCCAGTGCCCGGCCTCCCTTTCCTGGGTTTCGGGCTCCGTGTGAGTGATGTCTGCATCTGGCTGGAAATTAAAACAACTGTCTGCATTGCATTCGGCCCGTCTGTCAAAACACAGCCCTGCTCTCAGCAGCTGGGGAACAGGGCCCTGAATGGGAGCAGTGTCTCCGGCAACAAAGCCCACTTTCACGCCAAGTGCCGCGGAGATAGTGAGAAGCCTGTTCTTCTCCAAACATGAAACCAACTGCACAACTATTTTCCTGTTTCCTGGGCCCTCCTGGTGGGAATTTTTTTTTTTTTTTTTTAATACACAGAGTTGAAGAGCAAAGTGAAACAGGAAACTTTTATGGAGTGGGAGTCCTAAAACTTGAATTTATTCTCTTCTCTGAGATCTAACAGCCACATACAAACCAGAGGAAAGAAACGTCACAGGGTACTGGAGGGAGGCACTCAAAGTCAGGTGTTTCCATGGGTGCTCTGTCTTTCCTGTAATCATGTGCTTCCACATTCATTCATCAATCGTAGTCATTGATCACATCGTACAGAAAGGCCAGTGCTGGGCACTTTAGGGCAATAAAATCAACAGCAACATTAAAACACAGCCATCACCCTCAAGTTGCAAGCAGACTAGTAATAAAAACAAGAAAAGTGATGTGTGTTCTAAGAGAGATATTGAAAGAGGGCTGAGGGAATTCAGAGCAAAGAAAAAACTCCTTCTACATCCATGCCATCCAACATGTGGGCCCGTGTGGCTACCAGCATCTGGAAGGGGCTAGTTGGAATTGAAACAGCCTCTAAAGACAACTGTATGCAGAAGGCTGAGCATGAAAAACAGAATGTAAAATAGCACATTAACAATTCTTATTGACAAGTGTTGAGAAAATTTAGTGAATTTTGGGTTATAAACCTACCTACTGATTTCAGCTGCCTCTTCTTACTTTTAAAAATATGGTTGCTAGAAAAGTTAAAATGACACATGTCCCTGGGTGCCTGGTGTTTTGTTCTCGTGGGGGAGCATGGCTCTAGGTGGGTGTCCCAAGGAGGCTTTGTGAGGGATGTGGCCTGGGTCTGGGTCTTCAAAAGGGTGAATAGTATTTACACAGATGAACAGCGTCCTGGGTGGAAGGATCCACATGAGCAAACAGGAAAGCAGAGCTTGAGGGTAAAGAGTGATGAGCATATATAAATCTGGAGAGCAGGTCTGGGCTGACTTGGGAAGGACAGAGAAGTCCACACAGCTGGAATACACAATGTCAGCTCTCCAGTCCATCACTCCTTGGCCGAAAGAGTGTCCTCCATGAAGAGGCGGCCTGAATCCTCAAACCAACACCCTTGGCATGACCTGTAAGCTTAAGAGACATCAAAATCCAGAGTCCAACTGAGTCAGAAATTCTGGCATGAGGCAGGGCCTGAGAAATGGTTCCAACAAGCTCTCCAGCTGATTTTTTTTTGAGAACCACTGGTAAACTTGACCTTGCTTCCTGGGAGATCTTTTTAAATGTCAGGCTCTGCCCAGGGCCATGAAAAAATAGAGTCAAACTCTGCCTCTGGGCTGCAGAAGGAACTGGACTGACTCGGGGAGGAGGGCTGGAGGTTGGTCTGGGGACTGCTCCATGGCCCAGGGAGGAATTGATTCCAGTATCTCTGAGTCTATGGCAGACCTAAAGGAACCTAGTTCAAACTTCTGGGGTCAGGGGCCACTCAGTCAGCACCAGGCAACAGCCGGGCACTTGCTCCGGGGCCTGGGGGGTCGGGGAGGATGGGCTGGGGATGCACGCTGTCTCAGGGAAGCTCGAGAAGGAA